CTTTGTATACTGGGGCACAGTCAAACTGGAACAGAAAACTATTCTCACAAAGTTGGAAGCATAAAATTGTCCAAATTGTTTTGGTATACTGAAGGATTAAGAGTTCCCTTAACTGGAACAAAGGGTCTAGCCCAACCCTTGAAAAACAACCCCATACCATTATCCCTGCTTGAGAAAACTTTACAGTTTGCACAATGCAGTCGGGCAGATAACATTCTCCTGGCATCTGCCAAACCCAGACTCGTCCATCAGACTGTAAAATAGAGAAGTAACAGAACACGTTTCCACTGCTCCAGAGTCCAGTGGCGACGTGCTTTACCCCACTCCTTCTGATGCTTTGCATTGTACTCGCACCCATGTGCTTTACAGGCTTTGGTAGAAAAGAACACATCTCCTATCGCTTTTCCAGGTCGGGTCGCGGGGGCAGCAGTTTAAGCAGGGAAACCCAAACTTCCCTCTCCTCGGCCACTTCCTCCAGCTCCTCCGGGGGAATCCCAAGGCGTTCCCAGGCCAGCCGAGAGATATAGTCTCTCCAGCATGTCCTGGGTCTTCCCCGGGGCGTCCTCCCAGTGGGACATGCCCAAAACAGCTCACGAATGAGACGTCCAGGAGGCATCCTGATACCCGAGCAGCCTCCTCTGGCTCCTCTCGATGCGGAGGAGTAGCGGCTCTACTCTGAGTCTCTCCGTATCTCTAAGTGAGAGCCCAGCCACCTTGCAGAGGACACCCATTTCGGCTGCTTGTATTTGCGACCTCATTCTTTCGGTCACTACCCACAGCTCATGACCATACTGTAGGTGAGGGTAGGAACGTAGATCGACTGGTAAATTGAGAGCTTTACCTTTTGGCTCAGCTCCTTCTTCACCATGACAGACCTATGCAGCGCCCGCATCACTGCTGATGCCGCACCAATCCGCCTGTCGATCTCCCGTTCCATCCTTCCCTCACTTGTGAACAAGACCCTGAGATACTTAAACTCCTCCACTTAGGGAAGGACTCCCTCCCCGACCCAGAGAGCGCACTCCACCCTTTTCCGGCTGAGGACCATGGTCTCGGATTTGGAGGTGCTGATTTTCATCCCAGCTGCTTCATACTCGGCTGCAAACTGGTCTAGTGAGAGCCAAAGGTCACGGTCTGATGAAGCCAACAGAACCACATCTGCAAAAAGCAGAAACATGATCCTGAGGTCACCAACCCGGACACCCTCAACGCCCTGGCTGCGCCTAGAAATTCTGTTCACAAAAGGTATGAACAGAATCGGTGACAAAGGGCAGCCCTGGTCACCACCCCCGTCTGGCTATCCAAAGGCACTGCCCCCACTGTCCACGTGATGCTGCAGATGTGTGTCAACCAGCACAGCCCTGCAACATCCAGATCCTTAAGTAACTCCAGGTGGATCTCATCCACCCCCGGGGTCCAGCCACTGAGGAGCTTTTTAACCACCTCAGCAACCTCCACTCCAGAGATAGGGGAGTCCACACCCAAGTCCCCTGACTCTGCTTCCTCATTGGAAGGCGTGTCAGTGGGATTGAGGAGGTCTTCGAAGTACTCCTTCCACCGACCCATAATGTCCTGAGTTTAGGTCAGCAGTGCCCCATTCCAATGAGGAAGCAGACTTACTTTATGCACTCCTACACAAACACCCAATTCCATAACACCCAATTCACAAATAGGACTTACAGTACAGTGTCCAAACCTACTTATTTGCTGTTTGTCTATTCATTGTCAAACTGAGACACTAAACATGTTGTTTTGACAGGTTTTCATGTCATTCCATGGAGTCAATCACTGTTAATTGACAGCCCACACAGGAATAATATCAAGCTTATTTGGAGTCACAGCTGTAATAATATGAGGCTGGCAGACCTGGATGTCATTCATGATGACATCAGGAAAAACAGAAGCCCAGTTTGCTGACCTCAGCTGAGAGTGATGGACGTTTTTCTAAATCCCTCACTTAGGCTGCTAAGTGTCTAAATCCCAGGTGAATGCCAAAGGCAGACCATGCATTCTCTGCTGGAAGACCTGGTCGAACCTCTCACTTTGTGCCACGGTGA